GGCTCGGGAAGGTGCCCCCGCCTCCCCTTCAGGGCCGCCGCAGGCCGCCTACCAGGGAGTGAAGGAAGTAGGGGGAAGGTTTCATTTTATTTAATTTCCTGATAAAGCTCTGGCCATGTTGAAAATTACCCCTGCAGTGGGCTGAGCAGCGTGACTATCCTAAGGTTCCCCTTTGCATTTGCCCTCACACCTCCAAGGCCGCTGCGGGCCACCTGCCGCCCTGCCCGGGTCTCCGTTGTCTGTCGGGAGCCCGCCCCACACAGACGAGAGACAGACCGGCCGGATCCGAATGTAGGATCTCACACACACAGCTGTGGAGTCCGGCGACCTGAGCCTATCACTAAATACTCGCACCGCGATGTGTCCTGCAGTAGATCTGGGAGGGACGCACCCTGCGCTCCCGGTGACCGCCCCGGAGGCGTCAGGCTCCCAGTCGTCCCAGCTCCCGGGGCGATGCTTTCACCCCAGAATGGAGGTCGGGCATGTGGATCAGCTCCCTCCTCGGTCGCCTGCTGTCTGAGTTTTTCACCCAAACGTGATGGGCCTGTTCTAAGGGCCCCGGGAGCCAGTCCAGGCCAACACCAGGCCTCAGCCACTCAGCACCTGCTCAGTTCACGGGAGCTGCTGCTGGGAAGCTGGATTCGTGCGACTCGCACGTGGCTGTAGTCACCACGTTAGTCCAGTTCACGTGCTTCCGAAGGCAGCGGCCTCAGAGCCCCGCTCCCCGGCCTCTGGTGTGAACTCCGGGTGACGCCCACACTGCGCCCCGTGGGCTCCTCTCCTAGAAACCCGCCTGGGCCACACTTCCCTCTGGGAGGAGAGACTCCCAGGCCCCTGGGAGCCGATTCCCTGGCAGAGCTTCTCTGAGGCTCGACCACCTGAAAAACCAGCTTTGAACGTGTCCGGGTAATCGCGTCCGGGGATTGTTAAACACTGACCACCCTCTCGTGCCCGCAGACCCCGATGCGGCCCCGGTGATCCATGGCGTGGACGTGGTGAACAGCACGCTAGCGAAAGTGACCTGGTCCTCCGTGCCCAAGGACCGAGTCCACGGGCGTCTGAAAGGATACCAGGTCTCTGCCCGGCTTCCCCCTCGCTGCCAGTGCCTCCCCCGCAAACAGAAGCGGAGAGGCCGTCGGCCGCCGCGGCTGGCAGGGTAAAGGGCTCCCGTCTCCATTGCAGGTGAATTGGTGGAAGACAGAAAGCCTGTCGGATGGCAGGACGCATCCCAAAGAGGTGAACACCCTGCGGTTCCCGGGACAGCGGAACTCGGGCTTGCTGCCCTCGCTGGAGGCCTTCAGCCAGTTCCGCCTGACCGTCCTGGCCTTCAACGCCAAGGGGGCCGGGCCCGAGAGCGAGCCCTACACGTTTCAGACGCCAGAGGGAGGTGAGGGGCCACGTGCGAAGGTGCCGACCGGGGACGGTCCGGTGCTGAATTAATAGTGGAGAAGCTGTACCCCATGAGCCAGCTTCTCGATTTCTATGAAAACCGATAACTAGTGGGGCTTTGGGACTGTTTTGTTTTTTTTAATTTTCCAAGCCTGAGCGTCTGTTCTGGGCCTGTGTCTTCTAGTTCCCGAACCGCCGGCTTTCCTCAGGGTGGTCACGGTGGAGAAAGACACGGCCACGCTGTCCTGGGGACTCCCCAAGAAGCTGAATGGGAACCTGACCGGCTACCTGCTGCAGTACCAGACAAGTGGGTAGAAACGGGGCCTGGGGCCGCCCGCGAACGTTTCCACGCGGTGCCGGGCGCTTCGCCCGCTCTGCCAAGAGCCTCCCGGCCGGGTCCTGCGGGCGAGCCTGCCGATGGCGCCGGGCCCTGCGCGACTGGCTC